AATATGTTTCTTAACTAAAAAAAGAATCCTGATTTTGAAACAATAAAACATGAATACCAGTAATTTTTAATAGTTCTTTGTGAACATTATTAATAAAAACATCGCTAATTAAAGGATGACAATTCTATTTAAAGTTGGAAAGAAAAAACGGCAAAGTCCTGTACATTTATACAACATGATAGCAGTTGTTCTTAAGCCGTTTGAGGTTTAACTCTACTCCTGGATTCTCACTGAAACCACAGATGTCTCTTTGGAACCCTATGGTTTTATACTGGTTCATTTACACTCTCAAATCTTCCCCAGCCTGCAACCCATGACCAACCCATTACCATAATTAAGAACTTTTACAGTTCCCATGTACTAGCATGGTTGTATTAAAAAAGACAGAAAACATAGGTGTTGGTGAGGATGTAGAGAAACTGGAACAGGAATATCATTGCTAGTGGAAATGTAAAATGTTACAGCCACTTTAGGAAACAATTTGATAATTCCTTCTTTGACACTGAGTTATTATACTTTCTATTTGCTACTCATTCTCAAGATGATAACTTTTTCATCAGAGTCTCCTCTAAAAGAATCTGAAAGCAAATCATGTTTGCATATGACCTTAATTTAACAGAACAGAGTAATTATACACAGCCATTGGCACTTAGTCTCAAGCAGACAAAAGTAATTGTTTTTCTTCGTGTCATCTCTAAAATATAGCACCAAAAAACCCCCTATCAATTTATAAAACAAATGATATATCTTGCCTCCTATTATCAAATAATGAGGCCAGCCCTGCTGTAGAAGTATCACAATGGTTGAGAGCATCAGCTTTGGAATCAGGACTATTTTGAATGCAGGGCACCACAACTATTATTGTATGATCTTATGAAAGTTATTCAGTTCTCCCTGGGCCACCATTTTCACTTCTGTAAGTTAAGAATTGCAATATGTATACCAGAATGTTGTTATAAGTATTAAATAAGAACATTCTCCAATGGATCTGCACAGTGATGGCCAAATAATTAGTGCTCAGTAAATACACTTATTTGTAATAACAAATCATATTTATTCTTAATCCTGGTGTTGAGGAAGTTGGGAATGCATTCAGGGCAGCATTGACAATGTCATCAGAGCCAGTCATGGGTTCTTGGGCCAGTTATTTCCTCCTCTCCAAGTCTCAGCCAACTCATCTTCATCCCTAAAAAGGTCCTTTCTGGCAACACTCCATCATAGCAGTTGTTCAATATTCATGGCTGACACAGCCCTCTTTGTCTCTGGCATAAAACTTACAACTTCTAAAATACATGCATTTTGACCAAGATCCAGTGATGGTATGCTTTACTATGATACAATGATTTCCAAGTTTCAGTACTCAACAAGGAATCCAATGTGATATAAATTACAAATAAATGAAGAAAAGTTTTTTTTTTTAATTGAAACTCTGGGAATGGAAATTTGATAGTCTTAACTGATTCCATATAATTTTAAAAATCGTACCAACCACTTTTTAGTTGTTCACCTACAGATCAGTTATCATAATTGGTAGTAGATAGTTCAGAATTTACTGTGGTTTTATTTGAATATGAAACAAACAAAAAGTAGAAAGCAAAAAAAAAAAAGATCTAAACATGAATGTAGATGATTCATAAAAATAGACACTGAACCACTATATCCTTGAAAACCAAATGGATACAGATGGTTAAAGTTGATCCCAGATGAATCACTGATTATGCACTGGAAAGGCCACTTTTTTAAAAGAAACACATGATGATTAATAATTTTAAATTTAATGCCTGAAGCCCTTCAGATGTATCCAATACTTGTTTCACAGAGAGCTCTAAATGCGCTCTGAAAATAAAAACAGGAAACATAAAACTAGTCTTTACCATTCAGATAGATTAGTGTTTAAAGTATTTTTCACTGTGAAATTTTCATGGAGTGATAACTACATAAAAAAGATCAGAAATAGTTTGGTGTGTTACTGAGCACAGCGTTTCCCGTTCACCAATATTGTGTTTGTATTTGGTCTTATCAGATATTTAGTCAATCGCTGAAACATTTATTCACAGCCAGTCAATTATAACTCCAGGAAATCAGCCACTGAATAAACTGTGCTATTAATTTTCCATCAGAGATTCATGTTTGAATGACCATGCATTTCATAGATTTAAATACCGAAAGGCTAATTATCCCAGAGGCCCCATTAAATGGATAGCATGGATTGCAATAAAAAACAATCCTAATATTGTTCGAAAATGATATTCAGCTTCTAGTTCCGAAGAATAATTTCTTTACCTATTGTTCACACTGAGCACACACACACACACACACACATACACATACTTGCATGCGCACACACTTACACATCTCCTAAAGCATTTTCTTTTCTAAATCCTTAGAAAAACAAATCTTAACAACTTCTTATAAACAAAGATTCATTATTTTATAAAGTAAAATATAAATCACAATTTTAAAATTTCATCTTCTCAGTCTCTTTGATGTTCAAATTATTTTGTAAAGGACTTTTACAAAATGTCCTTGTTGTTCTAAATGACTTTAAATTCAGAGTAAAACTCACCCACAGACACAAAGTACTATTATTTTTTTAATCTGTGTATTTTGTTGTTGTTGTTGTTTTGTTTGTTTTTTAATTGCTCATTCTGCTTAAAAAGAAAAAAAAAAAATCCTGAGAGTAAAAGTAGTAAGAATTGATTGAGGTTCAGGAATATGCTACCCCCAAATGCACCCTGGCATTTGAGAAGAGAGCAGAGGTAGAAAGGTTACTTTCACCTTCCCCCTGTCCTTCTTCCCTGAAGCACCTCATAAAACTAAGAAAGAATTTTCTGACCTTTCTCTGAAGCAGGTCATAATATCTTCATTTGGGAGCTGCCCTCACTATATCCCAAGAAAAGAGCTCAAAACAGAGATGCCAGAAGAATCTGCAGAAAGGGTCTTTGCCTGAGTTCCCTTCAATTTAATGACATTAGCTCACACTCCCTTAGTCCAATCAGACATCTCCAGGACTGTCTACTCTCCAGCAAACATAGCATTAAAACCAAAACCAAAACCAAAACAAAACAAAACAAAAATGCACAGGAGGGCTGGGGGAAACAGCTCGGCACTAGAGCACTTATTTGCCTAGAATATGTGAGGCCCTGGGTGCTGGATTCCCAGCACTTCAAAACAAACAAACAAAAACAACAACAAATAACAAAATAAAGCCCCACAGGTTTCCCTGCTTATTTAGGTCTTCACTACCAAAGGCTCCTGTGTCAGGTAAAAATTATAAATTTGTATGTTTCCTTGTTAATCTATCTTTTGTTAGAGAGGCCCTAGCAATGAGACTAGGGATGAATGGGTAAAGAAAAACAACAACAACAAAAAATCTGGGCTGGGATTGTGCCTCAGTGGTAGAGTGCTTGCCTAGCACATGTGAGGCCCTGGGTTCCATCCTCAGCACCACATAAAAATAAATAAATAAAATAAAGGTATTGAGTCCAAATACAACTATAAAATATTTTTTAAAAAAATCAACTTTCCTCCCCTATATAATCAAATGATGCTGTAAGAGTTTGCACCTCTACAAATTAAATGACTTATAGGGTGCATTTGTCATGGGTTCTTGTGTTGCTGAGGAGACATGGAAAACAAATCCAATCCAAGTGATCAGTACTAAAATATAACTAAAGAAAGTCTAATCTACTCAACAATACTTCATGCAATCTGAAGTGCTAATGCACTAACATTGATCAACCAGTATGTTCTACTGGAGAGTTACAGCCTAGGAAAGGGACTGTTTTGGTCTTGTTCACTAATACTTTTGAAGAAATGATGGATTTCATGTATTAAATTTAAAACTGGTACAGCTGTAAGAAAAAGAATTTGCCAACCGGAATTAAGTAAATAATAATAGATAGTACACAGAGATAGCTCCATTCATTAAAGTGTTTATGGTACTATGCTTTTTACAAACTAAAATTTCCCCCAATGCCATCCAGTTCTTTTTGCTATGGTTTTATGATCAATAATTGACTTCCTAAATACAAATTCAATTATTAGTTCTATACTACCCCAAAAGATAGTATATAGATCTATTTAGATCATTGGAAATATACAAATGAAAAAAATTGAAATTTAGTATCTACATCAACCTAATCTCTTCAGAGTTTTGCTTTAACAAAGTCAATATCCCTATATTATATTCAGTTGTCAATAAACTTGATAAGGTTTAGCTTTAATCTGTCAATCTTACAACTATTAACCATTCAGGGCTATTCTTTATATACGCACATTGTTGATAAGTACATAGAGAATCAAGTTAACAGTTGCACAGTTCCATACTTCAGTACTTCCTATCCTATTTCCTTATTTAAAAAAACAAACAAAAAAAAAAAACAAAAAACCTGGAGGCTTGCTCTTGGAATTGTTCTCTTTTACATAAAACCTACAAATAATTGGAATGTTTTCTCGGAAGCAAATTAAAACACATTAGCTGGATAAAAATTACATTTTCATTGGAATTCACATGTTTGTAATGATAGGGTAAGACAGTCACAAGCATGCCTTGAGTCAATAAATAGTTCCATTTTGGAACAGAAGTATAATATTTCAAGTAGGACTCTTTTTTGTCTTATATGCCTTTCAGCATCATTTTTGAGTGACTTGGTACTCAATGTATGAATGAAATGTTTTCATACCTACCTCTATGCAAAACTAGAGATCTGTACATTGCACCCAACTCACCTCTTAGTGATGATCAGTATGTTCACACCTCAAGTTGCAACCTCCTTCTTAGTCTGTGTTCCTCTTGTTTGACAGAACATTGGCACTGCTGATTTCTTTTTTAACACATATGCTTTCTTATGTCTTTCCATTCCCACCCTTCACACCCTCCCTGAAATTCCTTTAGTTCAATATGGTAGGCTATTATTTTTCTATTAGATGTCAATACATGCCATCACCAACAGAGACAATTCAACAACTTAACACATTTATAAAAACGCAGAAAGTACCTGGACATAGGCTCTGCAAGAGCGCTCTCTTTTCTGAAGCTGAATCCATTAAGACAGCAGATTAAACACAGAATAGAAAAAACAAGTTAGTGACAGAAGAAAACAAGAAAAATAAAAGAACACATCTACACAAAACACCTTATTTTTCCCCCCACTACTTTCTAGAAGACAATGAAAGCTAAGCAGTAACAAAATGTAACCAGCGGCTTGAAATACAGTAGCCAATACCCTTTCAGAATAACCCCAGTGAGAAGTGGATGGTATAAAGCTGTTAATGATAGAAAGAAAACTTCTGAATATGTTTAGTAGAAATTAGTAAAACCAATATAACATACTTTATTTATTTGAAATGATCCATTTCACATCGGGTTAGTTATTAGTTCATGGGCCACAAATTAAGACATACGAAGTTAAGTAAATTATGTCAAAAGTTTGGAATCCCCCCTTTTTTTAAAAAAAAGATAGCAGATTATTTGTGGTTTTCAGAAAATAGATGGTTAATATGTACAACTTATTAGATGTTCATTTATACATACAAAAAATTCTGTTTACTGGCAAAATATAAATGCCTATTCATTATGACTATTCAATTCTAAGGGACAAATACCAAGAGATAAATAACTTTTGATAAAAAGAATATAATTAATCTTTTGACTAGTCACTTCTTTTATTTCTTGAAGAATGTCTTTTGACAATTTTGACCAAAAAATTATACACTTTAGAAACTTTGGTGGGAAAAGAACCCTGTTGTTTGCTTTTGTTGGTTTGAATACAAAATTATGTTTTTCCGGGCAAAAGTTGACAGTAACTTGTATCAGTCCCAAGCATTTTTTTTTTCCTGGTGCTAAAATGAACAATCAATAATGATTTATTCACCCTGTTTATAATTGACCCAGAATTTTATTAAATTAGACTGTGGGTTTTCCCCATCTTTCCTACTGTTTCTCTTCCCTCTTCAGTATCCTTGATTATTGAAAAAGGAAATGACCCAGGTTTAAGAAGCAGTTACTGTGATGGCTTTTTGTGTAGCTAATACTTTCCCCACTCTAATTCATGCATTCTTCAAGGAGCATGGAACTTGCTCCTCTAAAGATTTAATGAGGAATAAGTGCAAGTAAATTGCCAATGCTGTCATCTGGATCACTGACTCGAATCGCGTTTTTGCAGGACTCTGGACCCTCCAGAATTTCAATGTGCAGCACAATTGATTTGTACCAAGTTGACTTTGCAAAACTGATGGGTTATAACTGCTTCAGGGAAAGTGGGAACCACAGGAAATGAGAGCAAGCCAGCAAGCACGTGAATAACCTTTGCCCTCCCATCTCCTTACCCCTTCATGCAAATTAACATATGACAAACCACATTATATAAACAATTGAAAAGAGCCAAATGGGAAACAAAGAGAGCATTAAAAAGCCTCACAAATGGAAATTTGCCCATTATGTAGTTATTTGATATTCAGAAGAGGCAAGCTGATTAGCTGTAGCCAGTTAGAATGTGACATTAATTGCCAGCTGTAGGTGATATCCTCAGACACCAACACCATTTTTAAATAAAGATACAAAGTATCACTATAACAAGTCATGTTATGGACCAGTAACATTAATAGAAATCACTACTTCCAGTGCATTATGATAACAATAGCTGGCAGCAATATTCATTAATAGCATCAGTCAGCCTGGGTAATAACACGTTAAAACACAGCATGCTCAGATTATATAGGCAGCTGTGGATTATTCTATCAGGGATCTGGTTGTGATTCCATCAGGATATATGTGAGAAAAAAATGACTCCTTTGTGAAAAAAAACTTAAATAATTTATATCTAATAGATAAAATTGCACCGTTTTCTGAAGATAAAAATGCAGGACAAACCATTTCCCAGGTAAAATGTCTGGCTTTTCTATGTTGAACAATCATTATTCTAAAAATTTCTTCCATCTTCTTGAGTAACAGTCTTAACCCAGTAAGACTAAAATAATGAAAAGAACTAAAATGCATTAAAATACAACTCTACAAAATCATTTTTCAATCTAAAGGGGAATGTCCTTGTAGTGAATATCACAGAGAAAAATTAGTCTCTTACAGTCCAATTCTTACCTTTAAGTAGAAAGAAAATATCTTAATACTCAAGGCCCTAAATTCAATCATTAAGAATCTCTACTACACAAATGCCATTCAAGAAACATTGTCATCTGATGGTGGCAATTCTAATATTTTTTTCATTAGGAAGTTATTTTACCATGTGATATTTTGTTATGTAAATCAATAATATTCTTGATATCATAAACAAAATGGTTTATATAAATACTAATAAAATTTATAAAGTATATTTTCCTTAAATTTAAGATGTAATTATTTTTCATTAATTACAATTCAAACAAATTTGCTGAAATGTACTTTAAAATTTTTAATGACAGTGATGCACAATCCAAGTAATATGAAAATCAAAATAAAGTAAAAATTACCACGTAATTATTTGTCACCTATTTTTAAAATTAATATTAACTAGGTAAAATTACCTCATTTTAAAACAGCTATATGGATTATCAGTATGCTCTCATTGTTATTTTCTAAATTTCTACTTATTGATTAGACACTTATTTTATTGTCAATTTTTAATATGAAAGTTTGAAGACAAAAAGAGAAGAAATAAATTGCATTTATCCATAGTAATCTTGCCAGAATTTAGTGTGCAAAGCAGAGCAATTACTATGGAAAAAGTAAATTCAAAATATATGCAGAGGGATTATCATTTATTGTTTCTTTAAATTAAAACCCAAAAAGTGTCATTATTAAAATAGTGAAGTCATTTGAATATAGTTATTGATTCTCTTTAGCATTATCTGGCTCTACAGAAGAAAGAAAAGTTAAGAAAGGAAGTCTTACTGATTTTACTACAATTTAAAAAGTTGAATAGCTGATATCCTTACCTTGTTCAAACTGCGGGCAGCACTGTCCTTTCCACCTGGTGTCAAGTTCCTGAGCTGGACATCAAGGAGGCCTACCAGCTGGTCCATGGCCCGGACTGAGTAGGTGATGTCCCCAGCATTCAGGTGATTCCTGGTCTGTTCAGCTAGCTCTCTAGCTATATTGGCAGCTGTCTCTCCAGATTTCAACTGTAATTTTGAAACACAGTAAAAAGGAAAGAGGTCTTACATAAACATTTATAGTGGTCTCTTCTGACAGATGTATTTGCTTGTAAGTTTGAATCATTGAGGCAAGAAGCAATTAATATACTCCATCTGCACCTGATTGCAACTCCCCAATTTTTCCTACTAATTCATCCTTTTCTTCAGAACTTCACTTAAGTTTAATCATGACCCTAAGAAGTATCTCTAAGGAAATATACGTGTAAAAATTGTCACCCTTCTGATCTACTGATTCATTTGACTGGTTAAGTCTAAGATTTGCCCTATTATTTTTTTCTGTAAGTTTCTAAATAGAAATTTGAAGAGTGTTTATTATGAGTCTGAAATCATACTCTAAGTTCTCATAGGCAAGTGCCTAGTTTAGCACTTAGTAAACTAAGCGACTAGTAAATAAATTTACTAAATATTAGTGAATTCAAAGTGAACTAAGTGAATATTTAAAGTTGCTAAAGCTTTATAAAAATTTTATCCCAAATACAACTCCTTCTTTCAAAGTGATTTTTAAAAAATATTTACTTTTTAGTTGCAGTTGGACACAATATTTTTTATTTATTTGTTTGTTTGTTTGTTTGTTTTTATGTGGTGTTGAGGATAGAACCCAGGGCCTTGCCTGTGCTAGGGGAGCACTCTACCACTGAGTCAAAACCCCAGCCCTCAAAGTTATCTTCATCTTCCCACTAAATATAAGATAAAAATTTTTCCTCTCCATTCACAGAATAGCAAATTACTCTTTAGTTTCTAGTGTTTTCCTTTTCTGAAAGTACATGCTGATTTTCCAAATATATTGTATAAGAATGTATCAAATTGTTAATACTTTGAAGATGTTAAAAGGTATAAAGACGAATGCCCCATGATCATTTGGACAAATTTGATAGCCCCAGGTAATAAGAAGTTAGGAATATACACCGATTTGTAAGAAAGGTTTGGGAAATATTTTTAAAAGACAAATAGGCATAACTTTCCAGGTTTTAATCTTGTTTTTTTCTTTTTTCTTTTCTGGAGCTAGGGATTGAACCCAGGACCTTGTGTATGTATGCCAAGCACTCTACCAACTGAGCTATATCCCCAGTCCCCAGGTTATAATCTTTATAATTTTTTAATATATATTTATTAGTTGTAGGTGGACATAACACCTTTATTTTTCTAAATTTTTATGTGGAGCTGAGGATAGAACCCAGTGCCTCAAGCATGCTAGGCAACCACTCTACCACTGAGCCACAAACCTAGCTCAATCTTTAACTTTTAAAATTAACAAGCTAAAACAGGATTGTAACTTATTTGCACATTAGATATGCAAGTGCTCAATGTAAAAATAATGACTGTTTGTATACAGGCTCACTTTTCAGAGACGTTCTATAGATGTCCACCCAAACTTTAACCTGCCTCATTATTTTCAAATAAATAATAGTATTATTATTTAAGAATTGGTTTTCTTTTTTCTTTTTTTTGTAAGGTAAATCAGTATAAAGCATATGATCACAAATAGGAATATCTTCACTTTGTAAACTCCCTCTTAAGAGTACATGGAGCCCAGCATGGTGGTGCACACCTATCCCAGTGGTTCTGGAGTCCGAGGCAGGAGGATTATGAGTTCAAAGCCAGCCTCAGCAAAAGTGAGGCACTAAGTAACTCAGTGAGACCTTGTCTCTGAATGAAATACAAAATAAGGCTGGGGATGTGGCTCAATGAGTGCCCCTTAGTTCAATCCCTGGTACCCACCCCCCTCAGAAAACAAAAAAAAAAAAAGAGTCAATTGCTGAGGGCCATTACCAAGTAGGAATGACGCATCGAAATTTCCTTGCCAAGCGTACCCCATGCTGCTTAGAGGACATTCGATGGGACATTGCATGCATACTTTAATAAGGTGACCTTGCTCAAGGACCAAGGCAGATCCGGGTTTAGAGCTGATCAGGTTTGAGGAAGTAACCGGCTCCTTGAGTTTAAGGCGTTGCCAGTTTAAGATAATGGGTTTTAGGGAAGTTGGAAGTTGAAGATTATTGCTGGGATTAGGGTGTTCCTGCTGCTTGTTCCCGTTGAGTTCTCGTGAGATTAAAATGGGATTTGGAGAGAGCCTCGTGGAGTAGGTGAAGTGTGCGGAGACGGGAGAACGTGTTTGCCCCTGGACCTGTGTGGAGGCGGTGTGAGAGCTGGAATAAAGAATTGCTGTTTGAACCTACAAAGCTGTGAGTGCCTCATGATTCTGGTGCCAAGCCGAGACATTGGCCTTTGGCAGTCAATGGAATGGAGAGCTCAAAGCACAACTAAAACTCTTAGCCAAGTATGTTTTCCCTTCGCTAAGTGAAAACCTCCAGGTTAGTTAGTATTTATATCAGGAGTGCATGTTACAAATGAATAAGTAGATAAATTAAAGTAGTTATATAAATTATGTACAATCACATCTTGAACATATTGAAAATACCTAATGGAAAAGTGATGTTTAATAGCAAGGCTATAAAAATGATTATCACCCTATAAACTACTACCACTGAGATTATATATTGAATACCAGTGTCTGAAATTTTGACATGTGAACACTCTATAACTCTCAAATTTCTCTTTCTTATCAGACATAAGAAATGATCCCAGAGAGGACTGGGGAAAAGTGTGTGCTTAGCTGTATAAGGCTCTGCATCCAATCTTCAATATCCCTTAAAAACCAGACAGGGCAGATCTCATAATAAATCATAGAAAAGTAGAGGAAAGGGTTCAAGGGGTATGAGGTGAGAAAGGAAGGGCACAGCACTGGGGAGTGATATTGGCCATGTTACATTATTATATTGTGTGCATGTACAAAAATGTATCAACAAATCCCATCATTATGACCAGCTGTAATGCACCAATAAAAAATATGAGAAAAAAAGGATAGAGCAATTAAAGCAAAAAGAATCCTATAATTGTACAAAAAAAAATGTTAGTTTGTGTGAATGGCTTGTGATTATATAAATCTGCTCAGGTGTATATACCTCATGCAATAGTTTAAAAGTATGAAGGAAATCATCGATACTGTTAATATCAATCTTCATTATTTAAGAAGTTTTATTGCAACATGCTACTTATGCCCAATAAGAAATATATAAAATAATTTAACATGTATAGAATGGTACCTAAAATGTGAGAAACGAGAAATTCTATATGACTATTTAAATGTCATCAAAATATATGATGTAAGAATATATTAAAGTGTTATTATATACTTAATCAGTATGTTGTAGAAATCTTTAAAAATAACTTCACTGAGTTAAAGCAATTTGTAAGATTCTTTAGAATCTTCTTAGCTAAAGTACCTACTAAGACCAAATAGACAACATTATAGGGTTCAAGCATAAGTATGACACAAATTTAGTGTAGATCAAAGTAGCACTTGATGACACCCTCATGAAAGTATTTTAGGGGCTCACGAAGGGACATAAATGTGATTATTATACATATATTTAAATTTTTACATAAAATTTAGGATTACTGGTAATCTGAAGAGTCCATAAACAAATTCTAAAGTTCAATATGTTGGGGATGCAGCTCAGTGGTAGAGCTCATGCTTGATAAACTGGTACATTCTAAATATTTAAATTCAGTATTCTGTCAATAGTGTGAATACTTGATTCAACCAGTGGGTAACTTTGCAAAACTACTACTGTTTTTTTTTATCAAGATAGTTGAAATTATTATAATTTTCCAAAGAGACATTCTTGTAATTAATGCACCATTCACAGTCTTACATTTGGTGTAGTTTACTACAGATTCTACTCTTATAATAAGGAGTATATTTACAGAATTACTACTCTTTTATTTTGTCATTGTATACTTATGTTTTTGTTATTTTACATTTTCCCCTCCATTTCTTTGTTATCAATGAAACCTTTTATATCAGGGAAACATCAGGAGAGACGAACTATGGGATCTTTTGATTCAAATAATTGTATAATAATGAAAAAAGTTTGAAATCTAGTAAACTAGACAAGGTATTTTATTTATTAACATAATATCTTCAGATCTAAGGATGCTTGTATTGACTTTCATTACATCTATCAGTGATCATTATGAAAAGCGCGATGATTTATCAAAGATAAATAAGAGATAAAGAGCATTGATATTTTCATAATTCCATTGCTTTTTTTCCTAATAGTTTTACAAGCATACTCTTCAACATTATTATAATAAAGGTGTGGGAAATAATAAGTTGGAAAGAAGGCCTATGGTATTCTCTTACATAAAATTTAAACTTTTTCTACCTACAATATTGAAAAATTGAAAATGTAGATGAATGACTAAGTCAAAATATAATTGCTCCCAACAAAACAATTTTGTTTGTCTCCTTGTGTATGTGTCAATAACAATTTAGCTTTTAAATAGTCTGAAACTCAATGTTCAACACCAAGAAAGTTGTGAGAAGAAAACTGAAGTATAAATACATTACAAAAATATGTATAAAAAACCATGAAAAGTAAATTTTTAAAGTAAAATAGAAATTCTTTTTTACTTTTTCTTCACTTTAAAATTAGAGAAGTGATAATAAAATGTTTTCATTCTTTTAATAATTACTTGAACACTTATTATTTCCTGAGGAAGTGAAGATGAGTATACTCCCCTGGCCCTCAGGAAGCTTACATTCCACCAACTGGGATAGGAAAGGTGGTTACATAGAAGAAAATAATATTAATTCAACAGTGCAGCAGCAATGACATAAACATTATGAGGTATTATAAGAACACAGTACAGGGGAAAGAAATCCTTGGAAAGCAGAGTGAGGACCACAAGAGACAATTAAGTGAAGCCTTAAATGATAATTGAGGGTCACTAAGTGACATGGGGCACTGGTGTGGCTCTTGGGGAGACAGGGCATTCTAAGCCAAGAAGATGGTGAGCAAAGTCAAGCCTAGAAATAGCCATGGACTGGGAAGTCAGCGCAAATACACAAAGGAAAAAAAAAGCATTTTTTCTATTATCAGACTCCAACATTGATACCTGCA